GCCAGGAGCTGGGGTGAAATCCCAAGCCAAACAATCCAGACTTTTTGGATAAAGGGGTGCCAGGCCCTCAACCAAACATTTTAAACTCCTTGGATAAAGGTGCACGGGCTCAAGTCTGGCTGTTTTCTGCAGGCATGGGGCAATGTGGGAGAGGGGAGAGCTGGGAGCTGGTGGGCTCATGCTCAGCCAGAGGTGAGACTGGAGCAGCATCCGGTTCACTGTCATCCTGGAGTCCTCAGGCAGCTGTTTCTTGAGGGAGGTGAGAAGGCAGGTGGCTGGGAGAAAAATATATTGTTATTATTGGCCCTATGAATGGGGCTAGCCATGGGAAGTCATAACTGCCAAAAAGTATGGGACAGAGAAGTGCCCTGGTTGTACAGATGAGGCTCAGGTATATAAGTGAGAAAAGAGCAGATAAAACCAGATTTTAGTTGTAGGTGTCCTTGATCCAGGAGAGTTGATACCAATGGTGAAGTCCCAGGAGCTGGTGCAGGTGTTGGCATTGTCTGGAGAGCGCTTGATGAGTTGGTCTTGGCCCAGGCAGCAGGAGTGACCTATAAAATATGCTTAAAATGGGTAGGGTTAAAATACACTCTGGAGACTGCTGGTTTTTACCAGACCAAATTTCTTGATAAAGCAGCAGAATGTTTTTAGGAATTTTCAGGAAAGACAACTGGAACATGAACATTTTAGAAGACAATTAAAGGGAATTGGGAACTCTGAATTTTAAAGGTACACCTGCTACCTGTTAGTCCTGCACTATGAAGCTTGTTAAAGAGGCAGGAAAATACTTAACTCCAGCTCCCCAGTTTCTAGTGCCTAATTTCTCTGTGCCCCAGCTCCCTGTCCAAGAGATGCTCAGATTCTCTATCTATCTGTGTGTATGTGTCTGTCTCTCTATCTCTCTGTGTCTCTGGCTGTCTCTCTCACACGCACGCGCACACACAAGTACCTATACTGCACTTTGAGTTCCGGGGCAGAGATGGGCAATCTCACTGACCATGGTAAGAGGACCTGGGCACACAGCGCCCTGGAAAGAGGAGCTGAGATGACTCAGGATTCCCAGAACCCCTGAGGTTGCAGAAACTTCCTTCTGCATGGTTCTCTAAGCTGAAAAGAAGCAGAAGCACAAAGCCTGCTTCCACATAGCAGGCCTTCAGCTGAGCTGTTTACTCCTCCACACAAAGCCCTTGTTTCTGTGACAGATGGTTCACGCTTCTCTCTCCCTCCCTCCCTCACCCTCTTCGCTTGTTCTCTCTGTTGTTTTGTTCTCCACTTTTCCTCTTCTCCCACCTTCCCTGCTTCACGCCCCTCTTCCTGAACTGACTGTAGGGCCAGGGGAAAAAAGCAGACAGAATGTAAGATACTAGAGGATGGTTCTGTCCAAGCAGGCTGCCTGGATTCGCTGCCAGTCACAACACACATATTGGAAATGTATATGGGAGAAGAATAACAAGCCTTTGACACTGTAGGAGCCACAGAAACGTGAAAAAAAACCATTAACATATCTGTGGCAGGTGTGTATTACAAAGGACCAGCACACACATAATCCTTCCAGGCCTGGCACTCCCAAAGAACACCCGTAGACCTGACTCTTACTGAATATTTACTGCAATAACTGTCTCCATGAGTCAGCCTGGGGGGAGAAGTAAGAAAGACTGAAGGACTTTCTTTACATAGAAGGCTGGCTCCGCCCCTTCAGACCCAAGCCTGACACCTGATGCTCCCAGCATCCGCTCTTCTTGTAAATGAAGTCTTTAGATGTGTTGGTAATCTGTAGCTTTCTCTGGCTTGATTATCTGCGATGCTAGAGCAGTTCCATCAAGTCCTGTAACAGGAATCTACCTGACACTTGCGTATCTGCTCTGGGAGAAAGGAGGGTAGCCTAGACCAAATGTCACCCAGTAACGGAGTCCTATTGGCCTGTACAGAGGCAGAGAGGTGATAGTAAGGGAAGCAGCAAAATGTCCAGTTCCATCAAAAATGAGCCACCTGTAGAGAGGGTCAGAGAGGATCTTAAAAAACCGGCTGATGTACTAGGACTAAGAGGCAACGTTTGGTACCTGCCTGGGTATCTGGGAGAAAAGAACAACGATGAAAAAATTCAACAAAGGAGGTGTGCTGCTGATCTGCCTGGTCATTTACAACCACTCCCATCCTTCGTGTGCTTCAGGGGCATTCTCTAAGCATGCATACGCTGGCCTTTTTACAAGTTTGAACGGGGGTCAGGTTCCACACAAAAATCATAGCTGTCCTGCATAACCACCACCACCTCCCCAACAATAAAGAGTAAAGTTTCCCTTGTCCCCCACCCGCTCCTCGCTCCTGGCTCCTCGCTATTTGAGCCCAAATAGCTGCATCTGCAAAAGATTGGCTCCAGGGTTAATTACCCATTAGAAGTGTAAATCTCTGCTTCCTTTGGCCCCTGCGAAGTTGATTTCTCTTGAGAGGAAGGGGACTGGAAGGGGCAGAGAGGAAGTTGTTTGAAACAAAGAGGGAGAAATCCAAGCTTAAAGAGACACACTTCAGATTCAAGAGGGGAAAGTTCTTATAGCCCAGAGTGGAAAACTGGCTCATTCATTCAACAAACATTAAAGGCCAGGTTTGGGCCAAAACTATAAACTAGAACCACCCAGTGCAGATAGTCTCACGACAGATGCCATAAGGGCTGTAACAGTGGCATGCACCACTAGGTATTCTGGGAGTTCACACCGGAGAAAGAAGCAGCTTAGGGGTCAGGAACAGATCATTCCATTGGTGAGTGTGAGACAGCAAGAGAAATCGGAATGATATGTGTTGTTGGCAGACGAACAAATGCTGGAGCCTGACGTGGAGGCCAGGGAGAATAAAACGTTCTGGAAAGTTTGGAGCTTGCGGTGGATTTGGCAGAAGCATTACACACAGGAAAGGAAATCCATAGCCAGAATAGGCGGACAGGAAAGCAAATCCATAGCCAGAATAGGCGGCGTCTGCTGCAATAAGGACAGAGCAATGTCCTGTCCATGGAAGAAGTGGTCCAGTGTAGTCAACCTGCCACCAGGTCACCCCGGGGCTGGCCACCCTGGGGGATAGTGTCACACCTGGGGCTCAGTGCTGGTCTCTGCTGTTGGCAGATCTGGCAGTCAGCAGCAACGGTAGCCAGGTCAGCCTTGGTGACTGGACATTCCCCCATCTCTGCCACCATGGCACCTTGTCCATGAGGCCACTGTTCAATGACAGGGACGGCTGGGGAAGGAGACTGACCGTCCACAGGAGTCATCCTATCTATGGCTACTGAACTCCTCCTCGGCAGAAGTCACCTTTGGTCGAGCTTCTACACGGGACACAAGAGTCTTCACGTCCTCTGATTTTTGCAGAGATCTAGCCACACACTTCTTCCCCGGATGTTGTCGTTCTCACCAATTTTCCAATCATGCTCTTTCCAAATCCCTGACCAGCCAATCCATTGGCTCAGCCCACCAATCAGTGAATAGTAGCAATCTTGACCCAAAGGCAGCATGAAGTCTTTGAGCTTGGCTTACACTTTGGAAACCTCAAAGCCCACCCCCGAGTGGCACACTTCCTCCAACAAGGCCACGCCTCCCAATATTTTCAAATAGTGTCACTCCCTGCTCACTAAGCATTCCAATTTATGAGCCTGCGGGGAAATATTCTTATTCAAGCCACCACGTGACTGCATCACCAATCAATAAATACTAACGGGGACAGGAGATGCAAACTGCTGGCAGTAGACTGTGAGAAAAATGATGCAGGGTCCTGGGAAGACGAGGGTGGAGGTGGCTGAAGGGCCAGGCACTAACTAAAGAGGCCTCTAACTCTCAGGCTCATCTAAAACCTGACCCCTAGGAGCGCAAGGGCTCTGTGGTCAGAACCTTAGCGGAAGCTGTAAGTGTCGGCTGCTTTATCCAAGTTCTCCTAAGCTTATTCTGGTTTTGTTGCTGTTTTCGTTTTCTGACACCGGGTTTTACCATTCTGTCTTGAACTCCCATCCTCCTCCCTTAGCCTCCTCAGTGCTAGGATTACAGACATTCCCCACCACACCTTGCGGTCTGCTGGTTCTGTGGGTTTGAGGGGGACATGGGGGTTGCTCTGTGGTTCTGGGTGTGAGGGAGTTGTGATGGGAGTTGTTCTATGGTTCTATGGGTGTGAGGGGGACAAGGGGGCTGCTCTGTGATTCTGTGAGTGTGAGGGAGACATGGAGGCTGTGTTTGTTGGTGGAAGTCAGAGGTCAACCTCAGTGTCTTTCCTCAGGAGTTGCGTTCCTTAGATTTGAGACAGTGTCTTTCACTGGGATCAGGGATTCACCCGTTTAGCTAAGGTGGCTGGCCAGGGAGGACTAGGAATTTGCTTGATTCCATCTCGCTAGAACTTTGAGACTTTGATTATTAGCTAGGGCCACTGCAAAGGGGGTTTTATGTGGATTCTGGGCTGGAACTCAGGTACTTGAGCTTGCACATTAAACCCTTCACTGACCTCTCTCTCTCTCTCCTCTCTCTCTCTCTCTCTCTCTCTCTCTCTCTCTCTCCCCCCCCCTCCC